GTAGATTGCCCAACCTTCCTTCCGAGGAGTGGCTGGTGGGTTTGAACCGCCAGCCTTCTGGTTAGCAGTCAAGTGCCTCAGCCACTACAGTAACCAGAACACTAATCTTATGTATTTAAAAAAGAAAGAAAAAAGATTACTGCCATCAGGTCGATTCCAACTCATAGTGATCCTTATTGGAGGTAAGTCTGTAAATCTTTACAGAAGCAAACTGCCTCATCTTTCTTCTGTGGAGTGGCTGGTGGGTTCAAACTACCAACATTTTGGTTAGCAGCCAAATGCCTTAACCACTACACTACCAGAGCTCCTTAATTTTATGTATAAAACACAATGCACTGTTGTCGAGTTGGATCTGACTCATAGCAACACTTCCTTGAGTTTCTGAGGCAGTATCATTACAGAAGTAGATTGCCCAACCTTCCATCCAAGGAGTGACTGGTGGGTTTGAACCACCAGCCTTCTGGTTAACAGTCAAAATGCCTTAGGCACTATACCACCAGAGCTCCTAATCCTATGTATAGAATTATATAAAATACAGACTTGATATAGAAAAAGAGCAGTCCTATCCTCAAGGAATTTGCTCTTATTTACAAATGTAGACCCAAGTATCGGGTTTAACTATGATTGTTGTTGTTGTTGTTATGTGCCGTCGAGTCAGACCCGACTCATAGCGACCCCTTCTTGGGTGTACTAATAATGATGATGAGAAGTAGATAATAGCAACAATTTACCTAGCACTTACTCTGAGACATTGTGCAAAATTCCTGACATTTACTACCTAACTTAATCCTCAAAAGAAACTCTAGGAAATGAGCAATATTATCTTTATATCAAGGAAGCAAATAAGGCTTAAATAAATTGAATAACTTGTTGAGGATCATAACAAATGACAGGACAAGGACTTGACCCCAGATGGGTAAACTCCAGAGCAGTACTCCAAATTGGGATGTTCATACTCTTCTCCAGCTGAGGGAGAACACTGGGAGGGTCTCTGTTATTCAACTTGAGGACAGTCATCTGTTGCTCACCAAAAGCATTTCTGATGTAATGAAAGAAAACTCACCCAAAGCCCCAAGGCCTAGAACTGAGAAGACAAGAAGCCGTGGCAGCATCCTTACGTGATCCTAGGACACCAACAAGGAGAACACCGCCTGCAGCCCTAGAGAAAAGCTGACAGTTAACATGGCTGTGCTCACTCTCCAGTTGGAACACCCACACTTCCATATGGTGTACCCATCCTCCTTCTCACTGTTTTATGAGGGTCCTGAGGTCCAGGATCTCAAGCATCAGACCTGGCACTGAGCACGCGCCCAATTAATGTGAGGACACAAACACCTCTGTTTAGTCCACCACCACCATTCCTATTACTGGGGATCTCCTGGTCCCTTAGTGGAGTCTGGTGCCTGCTCTTAGGCTTTCCTGAATAAATAATAACAGTTTCTTTGAGTAGCTGTTACGAATAAACCCCATGTATATATGTTCACATTTAGTGCCGCAATTTTATATTTAATCCTTAGAAAATTCCTGTAAAACAAATATTCTTAACCTTGTCTTTATCACAGAGCCTTATCCTCAGAACTGTTTGAGAATCTGAAGTGTGTAGAGTCATCTGGTTCAATCTCTCACCCTATGTAGAAATCCCCTGCCAAGATGCCTGATGTGTGCTCAACTAACCTCTTCTTGAGTGAGGATAATAATAGCAACAATGGTTCCCAGTTATAGATCACTTTCTACCTTCCAGGAATTTGCTGGGAACACCACAGATATTTCATTAGGTGTCCTCACAATGATATGAGGTCCATACTAATCACCAGGAAACTGAGCCTCATAGAGTTTAAGTCATTTGTCCAAATTTACCCAACTAGGAGTAGAGCAAGATTCATACCCAAGTGTATCTGATGCCATACCCTATGCCCAGAATCACTCCACAACCTGCTTGAATGGCTGATAATGAAACTTCTCAGTATGGACCCAAGACATTAAACTCAAGGATCTCTGCAGTCCCTTCCAGCTCCAAGACTCTTCGCTGCTCTTCAGGCAGAAGTGGTTGCTTGCTCATGCTCAATGGATACAAAATATCAACTCACTTAGATGTCAATGAAAGAAGCAAATGTGCCCCCTAATTTCCTTACTGAGAAACTATCGGGGAAGGCTTGAGATAAAATGGATTAAGTCATCTCCCACCAGGGGTGTTTATGATACAATTGGTGTCTACAAATGGAAACGGTTTAGAACCACAAGCTTAAGTCTTGAACATATAGAAGTTCCATGCATAAGGACAAGCAACATCTCGGTGAATAATAAGATTTTATTCATCGAGGGAAACTATACACTGAAAAAAGGGGGGAAAAAAAAAAAAGGAGCCCTGGTAGCATAGTGCTTAAGGCATTTGACCACTAACCAAAAGAAGATTGGCAGTTCAAACCCACCAGCCACTCTAGTAGAAGAAAGACTGGGCAACCTACTTCTGTAAAGATTTACCACGTCAGAAACCCAAAGGGAGTCGCTATGAGTCAGAATTGACTCAATGGCAGTGAATATTTGGTTAAAGACAAAATAAGCCAATCAAAAATGAGAGCAGGCACCTAATAAGTGTGTGGGGAAATGCTCCGTCTCTCTTGTTAGCCAAATGAGATGTAAGGATTAACTTGTTCAGGGCTGGAACCCCATAGTCTGGGCTCCCAAAAATGAATGGAGCTGGGCTCTTACAAAGATAGCTGGAAATCAGCAATCATTCTGGTCAACCAGCAGGTGTTGGACCCTGGTCACCAGGTCATTGCACTTCCTCAACCATGAAGGCTGATGTGGCAAATCCTGCCCAAAGCTTGTCACACCATACAGCTGAAATTGCAAGATTTGAGCTCAGCACCTGATCATGCCATGAGAGGGACTGGTGGTGTCTCCCACTCTTACTCCCAACCATGAACCAGTGTTCACGGAAGGATAGGGCTGGAGCCAACCAAGGCTGATATCACTGTACATCCTATAGGAACCTAAACAGTGAAACTTAATAGGTAGAGGAATGGGCAGAAATGGGAGTAAGTAGGTAGAGGTAACCCCAGAATCCACATCCTTGGCAAGAGAGATCTAATAGTAATAGAACCAAACTCATTTTGGAAGAATTTAAAATAGTGAAAATTTTCTCATATGGAGGAAGGGGGTTCAGGAGGGGAAATCAAGGGAGCTTTCTCTACCATGTTAACATTCTGACCAGATAGAGTCCAGTCCCTTAGATGGAAGAGGACTTTTCAAGAAGAAATACACTCACATTCACACTCAGAAATACCTTTAGCTCTTGTGATTTCCCAGCCCCAGCAGGTCAGGGTACAGGTGGCTCAGCCTTGATTGGCTGGCAGTTCCTTCCCTTTCAGACTTGGCCTCCTAGGCCTGCCCTCCTTGCCCTACTGCTGACTCTCCTGGCCTTCACCCTCCTTTCACTACAAGGCACTCCCTCCTGGAAATGGAAGCACTCAGGTTCTGGCTTCACAGAGAGAAGAGGAAAGCCTAGGATCCTCAATAAAAAATTAGGAGGAGAAGGGAGTAGATCTCTGAAGCTTTGAGCCAGCTCCTTCCACAGCACTGGGAGAACTCAGGTGAGACCAGACTCTGCTGAGAACACTGGTGCCCCGCCCTATGAATAAGCCTGGAACTTCCTTCCTGGGAAAAAGCAAGATTGCCCAACATTTCCAACCAAGCTCCTTCCTCATCTCAGCCCTCAATAACCAAGGCAACCTGGGAACACCTGTGGAACCTAGGGGTTGTGTCCCTGATATCTGGGTATTTCCGGGAGTTTGAAGTCTGTGAATTGAGGTCATTCACCAACATCCCTGCACCCCATTCCTCCTATGTTACCAGAAGGGATTGAATGGAGAGAAAAAAAATAGAAAGATAACTTTCCAGGAGCCAGCTCGCAATGCACTATCACTAAAACTCATTCCAACCCAGCACATTCATAGGTCACCCCGTCTCAACATCAAAGTATTTCCCTACAACAAATTCCATAAGAAGCATTATAAGTCTCTACCTCCTCACTGACTCCTGATAGAGGCCCACAGTCTTCAGCTCTGGTCTTGCAGAAATTCTGTAGCTTCTCTGAGGAGGTTTTTACATAAGACTTCCCAGCAATCTTCTGCCAAAGATGCCTTTGTTGTCTGGACCTCTTGTGCTCTTCTCTGTGTTTTCCTTCTCCTTAGTGTTATCACACTGGTCACTTGTTTTGGGGATATTGCCTTTCCCTTCATCCAAATCAATAAAAAGTTGTTATTTTTAAAATATGTGCATAATGCTTGAGTTCTGGAATATACATTTATTAAAATCATCAACTCAACTTTTCCTTTCTTTATTGGACAATGATCTTAAGTTAATATGTAGTAAACCTCTTTTCAATATACTTCAGTGTTTCACTGACGTTGAAAGGTAGTTATTAAATTATTGGTGGGCAATGTAAAAAGAGTACTATGGGTATCAGGGGGAGTTTTTGCTTAGGGGGGACTGAGTTTATGTTAATTGTGGCAAAATAATTTGGAAAAGGATAGTAATAAAGGTTGCCCAACATGAGAAAGCAACAGGACGGGAGAGCCGGAGAAAGAGGATTATAAGCCAGGAACCCAGACAAAGGAGCAGTCAGCTGCAGGGATCCAGGTGAGGAGAGAGAACCCAGGCACACCCAAAGCAGCAGGATGGGAGAGTGGGAGAAATGGGATTAAAAGGCCCAGGAACCAGGACAGAGGAGCAGTCAGCTGCAGGGGTCCCGGTAATGGTGGTACGTGAGGTTTCCAACAGGGAGACAAAACTGTCAGTTTGTCCTACCATGATGACGTGTTGATGTGAGTTTTGAGGCTGAGCCACTGGTGTTTCAAACCCAGTGGGATGCACTTGGTGCACAGGTATCAGCCCAGCTTACAGACTGAGACAGACTAGGAAGAAGGAAGAGGCTGTCCACTTCTCAAAGAATTGGCCAGGGAAAACCTTATGAATAGCAAAGAAACACTGTTTGATACATTACTGT